GTAGATACATGAGACTAAATGGGCAGCTCCTGTCTGGAGGCGAGATGAGAAGGCAAAAAGGGCCAGGAGCTGGTTGAATGTACACAGGAAATCCGGGATGGAAAGGAGGAGTGTCACATTATAGAGAGAGCAACTAGGGTCACATAACAATGTATGTATAAATTTTTGTATGAGAAACTAACTTGAACTGTAAACTTTCACTTAAAGCACAATAAAAAAAAAAAATAAAAAAAAAATCCCTGGTGGGGAGATACAGAGAATAGCTTTTCTCTGGGTAGAAACATTTTCTTTTTAAAAATGGTAGAACTTCTTAGAGTCTTTAGTTTATACATCAGCATTGTAAATCTTCAAGAGGGAAGCGTTTCTGAAACTCACTCGTCCATGGAACCCATCCTCCATTTCCAATCCCCACTGTGGGACACCTATTATCTTTTCGTAGATATTGGAACTCCACAGAATTCTGTCTTCTGATAGAGCTGGAATGCCATGTCTTGTTATCTAGAGTTAGAATTTATTCATCATTTTCTTTAAAAAGGAAACCAGGGTGTCCAGTTCAATTTCTATCTTTCCTCTCACCTTTCTCTAGCTATTTCTACCCAGGCAAAGGTGTCAGATTTGCAAAATCACTGCTGCACACAGTGTTTTCTTCATCATCTTTGCAAGTTGTTTCTGAGTCACCATCTCTCCAACAGGCACAGCATGTTGGGATTCAGCTGGCAGAACAAAACTGCTCATGTTAAACTAAACTAGTTAGAAAAAGCTCTGGGCCAACAGGGGGGGTTTTCCTCTCCCCCACCCCCTTTTCTTTTCCCTAAGAACAACAAGGACTTAGAGGATTTTATCCATCAGTAGGCACAGGTAGTTTTGATAGCTGATAATACCTACTGATGACAAGATAGTCATTGAGGAAAAGTGATAAAAAGAAATGTCACCAATTTCCTGCGTTTTGCTTGTTTGCTAAAGTCAGAGTGGTGTAGTGACAAGCTTGACTGGCAGCAGGTGACCAGGATTCTAGCACCCATGCTGCCTCACTCAGCGGAACAATGCTCTCAGTAACGACAGTCCCCAGCTATTGAATGCTCATTAAATCCTAGGCAATGTGCTAGTCACCTTATCTCGTCATTATTTTTTTTCAGTCGTTATTTTTTAATTTTCACAACAATCTAGCAAGGTAGGTTATGCTATACCTGTTTTACAGATGAGAACCCAGAGAAGCCCTGAGAGGGAAAGAAATGAGCCCAAAGTCACACAGCTAGCATATGACACAGCTAGAATTTGAATCCAGAACTCCTGAACTTGAAAGACTGTGTTGTCTCTGCTGATACCTCACTTAGCCTTCACATTTTGGAAAGCACAGACATTCTACATCAGGCTACTTAACCTTATTGTGCTGTCGTTTCTTTGTCAAATGGATTGAGGAAATTGAATAGGCTGGTCTCTGAGGTCCTAATCATATGGAAAATACTATATATTTTTTAATTAATGACAACAATGACAGGCAACATTTCTTGATTATTTAGCGTGTGCCAGACATTGTGTTCTAGGTGTTTTCTGCATATGAACTCATTTAATTCTCATAACAATTTGATGAAGCAGTTCTATTATTATTTCTATTTTACAGATGAGAAAACTGAGGCATCTGGGCTGTAGCGAAGTTTCAAAGCACACTTACAGCCTCTCAGCAGCCAAGAGTCCTCTCACCCAGATAGGGTCTCAACGAGTAAGTAGGGAGCAGGGGGTCTCTGAATAGGGACATGAGGTCAAAATACTGGCGTGTCCATGGATGCCGAGACAGAGCAGCCACATACACCCCCAAACATAATGAAAATCCATGGCTTCCCCTCAGCTGGGTGAATGGCTTCTGGCTTTGAAAAGTGTCCCCGTAGGAACGAAACTGCAGTGTTAGGAATTTCTACAGACTCCTAGACAATGGTTTCAAGGGTTTCCCAAGGTCGTAGAAAATTTCCCTGCCTTTCCTTCCCCTTTTTACTTTATTTCTTGAGGGAATTCCATTGGAACTCACAGGCATTCCTGAAAGAGCTCACAATCTACTTCTAGCAAACCTTCCAGGGATATTTTTGTCAGCTGATGGGAGCAATACATATTAGTAGCAGCATTTTGAAAAAATGTTGACTCATGTACTTTTTTTTTTTTTTTTTTTTACTTTATGTTACTTGGGAGACTAGAGGCGTTATTCACTTCACTGCTTTGTAGAGAAATAAACTGGGGTCCAATGAGAAGAAAACATTTGTGGAACACATTTTTCCAGGTGGGGAAAATGCCACTGATGACCCAGCATTGACTTTTTTGCTGATCCTAGATGAAATTTTCAGTGCATATCTTAAATATCTATTGGTCCAGATCTGGATCCATTCATTTATTTCTCTGAAGTTATTGATGACTCAATAACTCACTTATGAAAGGCCATCAATAAATGAGTAGAAATAAATGAGTTAGTCTAGTGTGTGTTCTGCTTATGCACTGGGGATTGAAGATAAATGTGCCAAAGGAAGGCGGGCCTTTGCCATCACCCTGGAACATGGAAGGCATCTGATGAGGCAGCACAGAGAGCAGACCCCTGGTAGGGTCCAGATGGGCAGAGAACAGCAGGTAGCATCAATCTACCTGGATTATTCTGAAGCAGAGATCAGCTCACATCCCAAGGACAACTGATGTGAGCAATCACCAGAAGTAGTATCTGGAACTTGGTGATATTTTTCTTTATCACTAACAATATTTCTTCTCTTCTGAGTTCCTTCATCGCAGAGGGGAAGTGGTATGCATGTTGGAACAAGCATAGGACCTAGAAACTGAAGACCAGGATCTGAGATCTGGCTCTCTACTGTTTAATGATAATAATACACTCACCAACTCAGAGACTCGTGTTTCACAGCTGTAAATGGAACTGGAGATTCAAGAGTATTGCATCTCAACTTTTATTTGCCCTTGATACTTCTAAGAAGCAGAATGTCTGATGTATATGGAATTTTGGGCTCTTTTACTATCCTCTATTTCTGGGAAAAGTTAAAAACGACTAGGGCATTTGATAGCTTTCTTTTTTCTACTTACACAAAGGGAATAGACTAGAGTTGGGAAATGAATGAGCCCAGTAGGGAGTGAGTAGTTGTTTTTTTTTTTTTCCTCCACAGACAGGTTGGTCTGTTGGTCATTTTATTTATTTTTTTTA